GATAAAGAATGCAGAGCGAAGCTAAATCTCTACGTAACGCCAAGGGATCGAGCCGGTCGCAAATCTTTTAACTATCGAGGATTCGAGTCGCTCTCTGGTACTACTGGTCGCGGTCTGGTACTGGTAAAAGATGATTCTAGGAAATTCCAATCCCTACGAGAACCGTCCGCTTCTGAGAAATACAAATTCATTTCGAATGTAAACAAGATAATCGCGCGATAATCTATTTTCGATTTATGCGCATTGGTATAGAACTCATTGTTCCGTGCCAACCCGCACCATTACTAAACGGTTCCCGGAATGCGCGGCCATTCAAACCTTCTGGAATGTGCGTGATTTTGGTTTGTGAGAATATGTCATATTTGAAAAATGTGTATAAACAAGTACAATAAATAAGCAATTAACTGCAAATATATTAAAATTCAAATTTTCTTTTTTTGTTTTGCCATATTTAAAATCAAAATAGCTTTGTGTACCTTGTTAGCTAAATATCCCGTTGTCCCACTGCACTGTGGTGCCGCAAACATTTTATTATCGTCATACCTATCTCTTAGCATTTTCCTGTTATCATTTCTCTACGTCAATATGTCATTTCTAAGTCATGTATATTATCTTTTTTGATTTGGTTTTCGGTATTATTGTTGTGCTTTTAGGTATATTTCAATTAAATGTTAGTTATATTTTCATGAACATGGATGAATAAATTAATATTATTAATAAGAATACCAGGCAGAACAAGATCAACACTTGTAATAGAAAATGCTTGCAACAGAGAATGATAGAAAGTAGAAAAGTTAAGATGATCCCAAAACTAAAACAAAATAATATTTTTGCTTAATATAATTTTAAAATATTAATAAAATTATTTATTATTTAGATGAACAGGGGAGTAGTGACCTTGACTTAGTTAAATATCATCTTTCACATCTATTACCTTATCTATTATTATGCTGAATTTTCATGGTTCATTAATGGTTTATCGATTTTTTTTTAAGTTAACAGAAAAGGCTTAATTTTGGTTAGTAAATAATTATATAGTAATGTGCTTACAAATGTTTAGTGTTATTTCATATATATTTTATAAATATATCAAATCTCTAGTGCAGTAAGTCTATCGTACTAGATTACTTATGGCCCCATTGGAACCGCCAGATTGAATAAACTTGACTTTTCTGGACGGTGGGGAAAAAAAATCCACGTAGACTCGTGGTGGGACCTCGGGTAAAAGGGACGTCCCGGGCCTTATCATGGAGTTTTTTTGATCTTATACGAAAACTTTACAAGGACGTTAAGAGTTTACTGTTTGAAGAAATCAATTATGACGCCAAAAAAATTCTTTAGTTACTGTTTAAAACATCTTAGAAAATAAAATAGGCAACAAATAAAGTTTAAGCATTCCAATATGAATCGTTGATATGCGATACGTTTTCAGTTTTCTATCTCGAATTTAAATTCACAGCGAGGTTCTGCTCTGTTCTTGTGATTGGTCACGTGGGATATAATATAATTAAAACAAATGTTTAATGACGAAGGTTTAATTTGAGGTTTGCCGGTTTGAAGCCTGTCCATAAGATACCCATTTTAGTTAATAGTTCAATAAATAAGGATATCAAGTTCACACATGGATATGTGACGGTGCTATAAGACAATTTTTAAGTAAAAAACTAGTAAAATAGACCTTGATATCCTTATTTATTGATCTATTAACTATAACGGGTATCTTATATTAAATACGCTTTGACTTTTGTTCTTCCTTACTTTTTTGCTAAAGCATTTGTCTTGATTCTGCTATATTTTTACAAAATAACTCGATGGCTATTTCACAGAATGCACAGTGTTTGTGATAAAATAACAATAAAATATAAAACGAAAAAGATTACAACAAAAAAAGGACTAATTATTAATAAAAAAAGTGAAAAACATCTTTTGATCTTTTTTCAAAATCCTTTCAAATAAAACAGTTAGATAACAATTGGAAACAATGAAGATTTGCAACGTTATTCTCTTTGGTACGCTTACCATTTATTGATTTAAATCTTAAAGAAATATCCAGAAGACTCTTTTTGTGTCGCCTATTTGTCAATTACATGTGAAATTTTTACTTTATGCCCGAAATTTATACTGGAGAGAATAGAAATTCTCATAGCAAAGGGTTACTTGAGTATCTCTTATGAATGAAAAGGCTAGCCGCAAGGAACGCTATAAAATGCCTTACTTGGCATAGCGTTACTTCCACACTGCCTTAAGTATTGTTTGTGAATATAATCGCCTATATTATTATGTCATGTGAAAGCAATCATATCGCATGAAGACATAGCGTGATGTATGTGCACCGAAACAAGTTGCACAATCGAAGTTATGTCATTTTTAACTCTACTTGAACTCCCGCTGAACAGTAAGTAAACATACTATCAGTGTGTCAATTCCATAAAACATTGATAGAGATGAACGTTCTACATAAATTCAACTCCATATAGCGACAACATCCGGACTAAACTTCCAGATGAAAATTGTATTTAAGTAATGAAGTTTACTTCACAAGCTAAAGCTATAGATCAAGATGCAAGATAGATAGGTGAGAAAATATTGATACTTTCGACTAAATAAATTTATTTTGACAAAATACCGTTGAGAGACATTGTTGTTTGCCCGTAGACGACCTTACTTCTAATTTTGTTTGACTTGGAGTGTTAGAAGAGTTGGGCTATAAAAATCAAAGTTAATGAAAGTTAGGAGTTATTTAGGAACATGTTACCGTAAATTAGTTTTTTAAGATAATCAGTATCATGAAGTGTTGATAATGATTTAACTTAATCTTTGAAATTTTGATTAAATTACTTTTTATACCTTTTACGTCTGTATTTCTAGTTTTATTAATAAGTAGTACTTTTACTCTAATAAAAATTCAACTCTTATTCAGATAGTAGATTTTAGGACTACCTATAATAAGTCATGTAATAATAATTTATGGTTATGAGACTTGATATTTTACTTATCTACTACATACAATATAACTTACTACTTCGAGAAAAACACCACATATATTTCCACCATATATCATGTCCTAAACGTCAAATGGAAACCTGCTATGCTCGTCGACAACTGCAGAAAATACACGACAGACTGGGTCTACTCTTCCTTATATTGAACAATGAATTGTGATATGTTTATTGAACAATTCACCGGGAATGATCTCCTTGGCTGGTCAGAAGATTGTCCCTTTGTGTTGGAAAGACGTACAGGACACCCGAATCTATCAAATTCATTCCAAAAAACAGACTGTGTGGATCCTTGCTTTCATTTGTATATCAATTTCGCTAAGTTCAACAGTGGAGCCTAATATATTTATTGCATGTAATATAATAGACGTTATAGTACACCCACTGATATGCAAATTTTCCTTGCTGTAAAAAAAGGAAAGCCGTCAACTATAATAAAATGTAATTTTCAGACGACCTTCCTTTGTCTACTTTTAATTAAAATTTAATCAGTGAACCATAATGTCTACAAAACATCGGGTGTAGAATGACAATTCAGAATTATAGCAATTCAGCTGATTACTTTTTTTTCGTTAAATTCATTTTTTCGTCGTAACATTATAGCAGCCAATTATGCATTCAAACTCTCACCATAGTTCTTAGTTGTATGTCTCTGCTTTAAGGAAATAATCAAATCAATTTCCACCTGTGCTTATTCACAGATTCATTCACAAGATTTACCTAATTCAGAATAAGTTAGACTCGCTTTTAATGGTGCTAAAGAGTACTTAATGTAAAGTATATAATTAAGTAAGCTTTTGTTCTAGAATTCAAACTCTTGGCTCAACAAATCTGCCTTCATTGGCCTTGAAAGAAGCCACCTAAAAGATTTATCATTTTAGTTTCTTCTTTGAATAAAAAACATTTCTGAGACTAGAACCCTTAAAATGCTATTGCATCCTATTGTGTCTGTGTTAAGAGATCCGTATATTGCCCTAAGTACTCTATGTCATATATCGATCGGGATAGTATAATTATTAGGCTTAATAGGTTTAAACCGAGCGTAGTTTACTCACTGGTCTGGAGTGAGTAGCCGTGAGAATCGGAGAGTGAGAATTTTGATCACCAGAGACAGTTCGACCAGTGACAGAACCACAGTCTTCATTCATCAGCAAAGCTGATGATTGCCAAAATGGAACGCGATGTGTCCTTCTTAATCTGCAGAGGACTCACTAGACGCTAAAGAGCGTAAGATAATCTCCTTTATAAGGGTTCTTGATAGATTTAATGATCTTCGTTATAATGGCTGACCTGATGATGGTGGCTATCTTTTTGTTACTTTATCGGATAGATCGCAACATTTTATGTTAAACGTCTGCTTTAGATTCAGCACTCCCTTCTTAGATTACAGCAGGGTCGTCGCAATACATAATTATAGACAGAATACCAGTTGTTCAGGATAAAAGTCGTCGTTCGGCTCGGTGAGGTGATGAGCCAATAAAGTTTCTAAACATCAAATTTTGAGTATCCTTATTAGTGACTATAATAAAAAATATTTAATACACTTACCTATAATCGTTTTATTTTGTTTCAGATCACAAACGTCATCAAACATTGCCATACATGTACGTATAGTTTACCATACAACATATATACAACATCATATGGCATTGCGTGTTCTGTAATAAAGTGGTTTTTCGTTACAGTAGTTAAACAGTGACAGTAATATATTCATAGTAAATGACTAACAGTAACGTTACATCTTCGTAGTTGTGTTAAATTCGTACTGAAAACGAAAATCATTTACAATGAAACACTTTCATTTTTAATAAAAAGTAAAATACTATAAAAATATTTAAAATAGTGACAGTAATATAACTTACTTTTAAATTTTAGTTTTCTTCTAATCGGTATTAGTGAAATAATAAAAAAGGGAGTTAGTCCTTCTTAAACAGCAAATCTTTAAATTTCTTGTTAAAAACAAGTTAAAATTGGGTGCGTAATTGACTAACAAAAATAGTGATGTCCGCGTGTGTGGTGGAAGAAGGCAGGGAGGAGGGTGGCGGCGCGAGCGCAGAGCCCGGCTCGAGCTTCGAACGCGACGAGGTGCCTGAACGGCCCGCGCGTAAGGAGGTATTGTTGAGTGCGAGAGGACGACGCGCCTGTTCCGAACAGGGACCTCATCCTACATTAAATTTTCGTAAGTTTACTCAACTTACTATATTTTTAATGTTTTTTCCTAGACCTTCTTCCCTGTTAGATACTGTCTGTAAATGTATCACAGCATGTGTGATGTGTAGTGTGATTCTGTCAGTTTTTTTGTAAATTGTAGTGCTTGTTGAAATATAAAAAGGTAACCTATTGTTTAAAATATATATGTATATATATTTGAATACCAAAATCATTAGGTAGAAGGCCTTATATCCACACGCACATGTTTGATATACTTTTGATATTTTCGTTTTGCCTTACCAATTCACACCAAGACAAAGTGGACTTGATTCAGCTTTTAATTGGCTATGTTCTCATACTATTATTTTACTTATTTTTTAATATATTCTATCAGCTCTGCATCTCAACCTAACCTTCCAATTACCATAAAAGCACAAAATTGTTTTCCACCAACAAAAACTCAATGCAATTGTTCCAACCTAGATCGTGTAGATCATATTAAATATCTTGGTATAATCATATATAAAAATCTCAATTCCAAAGCCCATATCAATTTCCTTACTGGTAGAGTGCAATAAATTAATATATATCTTTAAAACACTGAAATTAATATCAAACCCTACAATAATTCATAATATATGCTTTGCTTTTTGTGTCTCCATTATTACATACCATCTAATATAGTGCACCAACATCATGTAGTTGGTAAAACTATAATTGAACAACCCCCTTTTTTTTTTCTTTTTTTTTTGTTTTCCCGTGCGGAAATCCCCTTGGATACCACCATCGTGATAGTATCGGTGGCATGTCGAACTCGAACCGACTAAAACCGCACGCCTCTCCTGTACTAATAGCCGGGGAACCAGGTATACCCTAGAAAGGTAGTCCCTGGTGCGATAATTGAACCCCCTAGAAATTGTTCATAAATCCATTTTGAAAGTAGCAACATTCCGTCCAATTATGTACCTCACTGACAAATTATATAGGCAATGAAAGGTTCTAAATGTTCAGCAATATTTTATCAAACAAATTGTTTTTCTCCAGCATTATAATTCGTCGCATAAGGCAATAAACAAACGACGAAAAGACAAAGTTTGCACAGTACCACATCCCAGGACTCACTAAAAGCATTCACTAAAAGATTATTACATTTCTTGGGTCCAGCTCTATACAATAAAATTAGGTGAAAATGTTCAATTAACAACCAATGTTTTTTTTTACTGCGGGGAATGCTTTTCGCACCATACCCTCCGTTGGGGAAATGCAGGGCGTGTGTGGGACTCCCGGAGAACCGGTTTACCCATTAAACCCCGCGGCGGCCTACCTCGGCAGTCAGGAGGAGCTCCAGGAACGCAACGGCGGCTTTTAGACTCCTCCCGGGATGTACAGGGAGGACTGGGGCGGGAGGCTGCCACGCCCTGCCATGGACGACATCCCGGCCGCACCGGAGTGTCATCTGTTTCGGGTCGTTTGCAGCGGCCACATGGCCCCATGGCATTACCCATGATTGGTAAGCTAGCGACCTGTGCCGCGTCCCCTTCGTCGTCGAGCAACAAAATAATCGGTCCTCGGTAACAACCTATTATATCACAACTGCAAAAAGGTGCTAAATACATTCCTGCAAGATAAAACCTACGAGGAAATCGAAAAGTATCTTCATACGGATGACACAAAAAACACACACACACACACACACCCACACCCACACACATACATCCACGAACATAAATACACTGTTTTTATTATAGATAATGTCACCATGTCTAAATGTAAAAAAAAAATAGTGGCGTGCAGACAGAAGTGAAAACTATTTTTTTTGTTTATTCCGATTCGAAAAGTTCCGACATGAATATATATTTATCTATGTTGTACATATATAGACAATATATGTTTATATTATATATAGTTATATTATAATGGTTTTTTCCCATCCCAAAAAATACCTTCTTTTGTTTGGTGTTCTCTCGCTCGGTAACATAATTGCGGCCATGGTGCGGAGCGAGAGTGCGTGGAGCTCCGCTGTCTCGTTCTGCGAGCAGGTCATGCTTGCGAAGGAGATGGCGGAGAACGGGCCAGGCTACTGGTACCTGGGAAAAATAAAAAATATTTATCCTAATTTATAAATAATTTCATTCGCATAAAATTAAAAATTGTTTTACTATTTACTAAACTTCAAATATGTGATGGCCAGGAATGTTGTTCAAGATGTAAATCAACAACAACAAGATGATTTAACACACCATCACGGTATGCTTGTCTATTTCGTATAATCATGAGTCCCTAAAGCACAGTGAATCTAAATGTTCTCTTTATTATACGACCTGCACCCATTAGTGTTTCAAAAAATAAAACCAAGATAGTAAAACTCGTTTGTCGTGTCGTGTTATGAATATGCAAAATTTTACGAGCTCGTGTTCTAAATCTAAAAGTTTTCGGCTAGCTGTAAAAGGAACCCCTGTTAAGTATAAAAAACAATTAAAATAAATCTCAGGAGGAGAAACCTTTCTTTGGTTTTGTATGCAGATTAAGTAAAGCAAAACTTTAAAAAAAAACTCTCTACTCGTTGGTTTGAAGTTCATACTGACATGTTAATATTTATTGTCCTTATAATACCTTATTTTATTGGGTTACGATAGGTCGTAAGTGCAGCTTTATAGGGCCTATTCCCGCAATAGGCGGAACACACAGCCCCGTCAATAGCCTCCTTGGCCGGACACAACGGGTAGAAAGTGGATGATGTCCCACGTGTGATGATTCATAGGTAGAGATCCGTTCCAAGAAGTCCACCCCTGGGCCAGACGGGATACTGACCCGAGTGCTGGCTTTAGCCCTCGACCATATGGCAGACCTCCTGAGGGAGGTGTTCGACGCTAGCTTGGCTTCGGGACATTTCCCTGAGAAGAACGGGAAGCTGGTCCTCTTGAGGAAGGGCTTTTGGGTGTCCCTGGATAATACGAAGGCCCGCTTATTTCATTGGCCCCGTCGTGGTCCTGCCCCTCAATCGTTGTCAACTCGATTCTCGTACCGGTTCAGGCCCAGATGAAGTATCTGGGCTTGATCCTTGACGAGAGGTGCTCTTCGACGAGCACTTCCAACAGCTTTCTCAAAAGCTGATCGGTGCTGCGTGTACCCTTGGGCGGCTTTTGCCTAATCTGGGTGGACCCAGCGTCGCGTCGAGACGGCTGTACACGTGGGTTGTCCGGTTCATGGCACTGTACGGTGCACCGGTGTAGGCGGCGGCTCTGACCGCCCAAAATAGAGCTCGCCTTTGGCGCCCTCTGAGGGTATTGGCAGTAGTTAGAGCCATACACGGTTACCGTACCGTGCCGATTAAGGCAGAGTGCGCGTTGGCCGGCTTTGTCGGCTTCCGGCCGGTTTTGTTGCTATTGTGTGTGTTGATCTATGACTTTAGAGTGTACGTGTCCACAAAAGACGATTTCAAACAATTAAAAAAAAATGAAATAGAGTTTGTGTTGGATACATCGTGACAGTGTCCTTAAATTTCAAATGCTCAGAAATAAAAACACTGAATAAAAGGAACTTCTTAGTTGATTTTGTATTTCACAAATCTAAAATTTTGCAAATTCAAAGAAAAACTCGTGGCTTTTGTCATCTTACGCTCCATGGTTGGTTGCGACCGTTGCTTTTATGTTTTAAAATAATAATAATTCATTCATTAAAGATAATTGTGTACAGCAGTCTGAGACCCAATCTCTCGAACTAGGTGAAACACCTGTATCTCGAGAAATAATACAATTCTTAGCATTACATTTGAGAATAAACTCGTGGTAAAAACTGGTATCATAAATAAATTGCAAAGTTGTAGGTATAACTAAATGGTCGGAGTCTTCTGTGATGACGACATTTTTAACCCCCGACGGAAAACGAGGCGTGTTTTCCGTTTAACCTGTGGTGACGGATTAAGAATACAAATTGTCACCACCCCAATTCATCCCGTGGGTGTCGTAAGAGCCGACTAAGGGAGCAAACTAAGCAGGACAACAACACTGCAAAGAGAAGGAAAACTTGAAACAAACCCTATACCAACCCGTCTGGCCAGCGTGGTATAGTAGGCCAAAACCTCCTTTCTAAGGAGAGGCCTATGTCCAGCAGTGGACTAGTATAGGCTGTTGATGTGATGTGTGATGATCTGCGTATCTGTGTATCTGTCTGTCTGTCTGTGGCATCATAGCTCCCGAACGGATGGACCAATTCCGATGCGGATTTTTTGTTCGAAAGCCAATGTGATTGTGACGGTTATATAAATTTTGAAGCTCAGCATCAGCTCACTTCCTAGGTCATGAAGGGATCTCACTAAAATTCACAGTTCCGTTTGATCTGAAATTTTGGTATACTGCTACTTTGATAGTATTGCCACGACATGGTAACCTTTTTTTTTTCCTGTGCAGAAATCCCCTCGGATACCACTTATCAGTGGCAATGTCGGACTCGAACCGACTAAAACCGCACGCCGTCTCAGGTACCAGTAGTCGGAGAACCAGGTGTACCCTAGAAAGGAAATCCCTGACATGGTAACCTGGAACTTGCTACTGAATCAAGTAGTCTGCAGGATAGCCAACTCCTTAGAAAAGTACAGCACACCATGTACCATGTTTGGGCTTATTAGAACAGTCTCAATGAGCACTTGTTGTTTTTTAAGGTGTTTTTGTGTCGGGGATTTTTTAATGATGCTATTTATGTATTAATATATATCATATATGTACGATTTTGTACGATGGCGAGCTAAACCCCCATTACATTTTCTGCCAGTCATGCCATCTTAGGGTAAGGTAGAAATCGTATAAAGAAAGGCAGGAAAGTCATACCTATGGGAAATTACTAATCAAAATATATTAATTCAAACTAATCCATACTAACATTATAAATGTGGAAGTGTGTCTGTCTGTCTGTTAACTCTTCACGCTTAAGCCGCTTAACTGATTTAGATGATTTTTTTTGTAGAGATAGTTTGAGTCAAGGGAAAGGACATAGGATAGTTTTTATCCTAGTAATCATCCTTTAGGGGGT